TGTTGTCGTATATTTTTAGCACTGGCAAACGAGATAAATCTTACCTGCATCTCATTAACTAAATGTTTTTTAATTACCTGCATAATAATAAGTCTTTGAAAATTCAGGTATTTATTTTCAAAAAGTGCTTTTATTATGCGAGCTGCAGCTAACAGGAAATTATTATACAATAGCTGTAGGGTGGCATTTGAGATCATGGAAGAATGATAACATATACAGTGGTACCTCGGGTTACATATGCTTCAGGTTACATACACTTCAGGTTACAGACTCCACTAACCCAGAAATATTACCTCGGGTTAAGAACTTTGCTTCGGGATGAGAACAGAAATCATGCAGCGGCAGCACAGCTTCAGCAGGAGGCTCCATTACCCAAATCTTCCATACCTGGGTAAGGTAATTGAGAGAGAGGTTGCTGAACAGCTTGGTAGGTTTCTGAAAGAAACATCGGCATTAGATCCATTTCAGTCCGGTTTCCGTCCTGGTTTTGGGACGGAGACAGCTCTGGTTGCCCTAACAGATGATCTCTGTAGACAACTGGACCGAGGCGGGTCAGGACTGCTGATCCTTTTAGATTTGTCAGCAGCCTTTGACATGGTCGATCATGATCTTCTGGACCACCGCCTCGCAGACGTGGGGATACAGGCATAGCCCGTAACTGGTTGTGCTCTTTTATCTCTGGTCGGGGACAGAGGGTGGCACTAGGGAGGGAAATGTCGTCGCGCCACTCCTTGGTATGTGGAGTGCCGCAGGGCGCAATTCTCTCCCCGATGCTTTTTAACATCTTTATGCGCCCCCTTGCCCAGATTATCCGGAGCTTTGGGCTGGGCTGTCACCAATATGCTGATGACACTCAGCTCTATCTGCTCATGGATGGCCACACCGACTCGGCCCCGAACACACTGACCAGATGCTTGGAAGTTGTGGCTGGATGGTTTCGTGGGAGCCGATTGAAACTAAATCCTTCGAAGACAGAGGTCCTATGGCTAGATCGGGATGGCATGGGGATGAGGGACCAACTCCCTTCTCTTGCGGGGGCCCAATTAGTGCCCACTGCCTTCCGTTAAGAGTTTGGGTGTAATCCTTGACACCTCCCTTTCCATGGAGGCGCAAGTTACAGCAACAGCCAAGGCGACATTTTTCCACCTTCGCCACATCAAGCAGTTGGTCCCTTACCTTTCCCGCCCCGACCTGGCCACAGTGATCCATGCGACGGTCATCTCCAGGCTTGACTACTGTAATTCGCTCTACGCGGGGCTGCCCTTGAAGCTGTCCCAGAAACTCCAGCGGGTACAGAATGCTGCAGCGAGGCTCCTCACGGGGTCTTTGCCATGGGAGCATATTCACCCAGTGCTTTTCAAGCTGCACTGGCTCCCGGTGGAGTACAGGGTCAGATTTAAGGTGCTGCTTTTGACCTTTAAAGCCCTTCACGGCCTAGGACCCTCGTACCTACGGGACCGCCTCTCCTGGTATGCCCCACGGAGAGCCTCAAGGTCCATAAATAACAACACCCTAGTGGTCCCAGGCCCTAAGGAAGTTAGATTGGCTTCAACCAGAGCCAGGGCCTTTTCAACTCTGGCTCCGGCCTGGTGGAACACTCTGCCTCATGAGACCAGGGCCCTGCAGGATCTGATTTCTTTCTGCAGGGCCTGTAAGACAGAGTTGTTCCGCCTGGCCTTTGGCTTGGAGCCAATTTGATTCCCTCCCTCCCTCTCTTTCTTTTTTCTTTCCTTCTCCTCCTGCGATGAGGCTACATTTTAATATTTTAATGTTCCATTATTTTAATGTTGTATTTTATTTTTGTTTTTAAGTTGTAATCATTCATCTTGTTTTTATTATTGCTTGTAAGCCGCTCTGAGCCTGGCCTTGGCTGGGGAGGGCGGGGTATAAATAAATAAATTATTATTATTATTATTATTATTATTATTATTATTATTATTATTATGTGTTGCTTCAATAAGAGTTTCAGGTTAAGAACAGACCTCTGGAACAAATTAAGTTCTTAACCCGAGGTACCACTGTATTTTATAAGAGAGGTAAATGCTTTATCTGACCGGAGGTACAGGGAAGTTTGTTTTTCATAGGGTGCAAATGTAAGAAAGCAAAATATTTTTGAAAGGTGGTGACAATGATGATTAATTACATTTTCTTTTAAACCTTGAACCCAAACCGATATTACCATTGAAATCCAATGTCCTTCTCCTCCTTGTACCCCAGCACATTCAAACCTGCTCCAGAGGCTCTAGGAATTTAGATTTATATCCAGACTAGAGATTTAGGGGCACAACATGTTTAATAATTAATGATAACATAAGGATAATATGGCAGATGATCTAGGTGAAAAGGGACAGGCAACATCAATACTGAAATGAATTTATCCAATATTTTTATTAGCAATTTAGACAACAGAAACAGATGCTGGTAACAAGTTAGGAGGCATCATCAATATAGACCACGACATAAAAGCTGCTGGACCAGAGGCCAGAACTAAGCCTTGCTTGGAGTGCAGAAGAAGGGGAGAAACATCTTACAAATTTTTATTGGGGCTAAATAAATTATGCTTGGGCACTAATTGGAGAGTGAAATTTAAAAGTGTGCAGTGTTTGCATCATTTTTCTTGGAGAGAAATAGTAGACAGGTGGTCTCTCTGTCAGAGACTAAGTAGAGAGAGGCAAGCAATGAGCTCTTATTCTATCACTGCTACACATAAAAATTGGCAAAGGAAGTACATTGGTTTCAATAGCTCTACACTGAGTGTAACTTGGGCCACATCTGCGCTATATATTTAAAGCAGTATTTTACCACTTTAAAGAGTCAAGACTTCTCCTAAAGAATCCTGGAGCACAAAGTTTGTTATGGGTGCTGATAGTTAAGAAACTCCTATTTCCCTCATAGAGCTACAGTTTTCAGAGTGGTTTAACAATCAATTCCTCTAAGCCTCTTTCCATGGAACTCTGAGAATTGACTCCTAACTACTTTCAGCACCCTTAACAAACTACAGTTCCCAGGACTCTTTGGGAGAAGCCATGATTCTTTAAAATGGCATGGTACTGCTTTAAATATATAGTGCAAATTGGGCTTAACATTGGATATCACCAGTGCTTTTTCTGGGGGTACTCAAGGCACTGGCACCTTTATCCTTCCCCTCCACCCATGTTAAAAGTGTGGCACTTACTGTAACAACTTCATTATGAGTACTGGCACCTTTTTTTCTTTCAGAAAATCACTGGATAACACGCAGTGTATTTGTAGCACATATAAGTGAAGTATTGTTGTGAAATGCAAGAAAATATTAATAATGCTGAGGTCAGCTTAAACAAATGAAAGAGATACAGTGGTACCTCAGGTTAAGTACTTAATTCGTTCTGGAGGTCCGTACTTAACCTGAAACTGTTCTTAACCTGAAGCACCACTTTAGCTAATGGGGCCTCCTGCTGCTTAGGCACCGCCGGAGCCCGATTTCTGTTCTCATCCTGAAGCAAAGTTCTTAACCTGAAGCACTATTTCTGGGTTAGCGGAGTCTGTAACCTGAAGCGTATGTAACCTGAAGCGTATGTAACCTGAGGTACCACTGTAATGCAAAAATATGATTCTGTTACAAAAGAATGTTAGGCTTATTTAATAACAGAGGGCATAGTCCATTTCACAACCAAGTTTTTAGTGTCAGGTTTTATTGCCATAATGTTGGCACACTGAAATATTTATTTTATTTTATACCTTCCATTAACAAAAAGACAGTGAAAACAAAAAGGTCTTTGACTAGCACCAAAAAGGCAACAAAGGTGCTAGCCAAAGGTGGCATGTGAGCTGTCTGTGGAGTGTATTCTGCAACTGAGCACCACCACTGAAAAGGCTCTTTCCTTAGCAGCCATCCAGAGCCCACATCACCTCACACCATTTTGTAGCAATACTTGAAGAAGGAGCTGCTCATCTAGACCATGGGTAGGCAAACTAAGGCCCGGGGGCCAGATCCGGCCCAATCACCTTCTAAATCCAGCCCGCGGATGGCCCAGGAATCATAACAATAATATTATAATAATTTATTATTTATACCCCGCCCATCTGGCTGGGTTTCCCCAGCCACTCTGGGCGGCTTCCAATAGAACACTAAAATACAATAACCTATTAAACATTAAACATCAGTGTGTTTTTACATGAGTAGAATGTGTGCCACAAGGTCTGAGGGACAGTGGACCGGCCCCCTGCTGAAAAAGTTTGCTGACCCCTGATCTAGACAAACACCTCCCAAAACAATGCACTAGAAAAAAAAATCTTCTAAATCACACACTCACATATGTATATATAATGTAAGGGTCTGAGTCCTTTGTTTCCCAAATTCCAAAGCTCTAGCAGCAGAAAATGAAATAGAAAGGGAAGTGAGAGAGATGAAATAGCTTGGGAGGTGGTATTATAGAATTAATCAGTGGTGCTGTCAGGATTGTGCCTTGGAACCAAAGTCCAGGCCCAGGCCCTGACCCTTACCTGACAACAGCAAATGATGGAGACAGCAACAGTCAAACCCTACACCAGCATTTGGTCCAGCATAGGCATGCCAGGGCATGGTTAGTCACTGCAACAACCTTTTTTTAAAAGAAGGAGAAGGAGATGTTTATAGTTAAAGGGAGTGGCTGGCAAAGCAGGTGCATGGTTACAAGTATGCATTTCATTATTTCTGCTTCTAAAAATATGTCATCTTTTTTTTTTTACAACAAAATACAGTAGTGCTTATTTACCATCAGCGCAGCAGAAACAAATCCTGTTTTATGCCTGACACCATGATGGTCCCCTGACTGAAATTTAAAACGCAAAACTGCATATGCTTACAGTCTGGCTGGATCTAGACACATGATCCAAGAAGCTTCTCTGTTTATAGCGTTGCAAATTTAAACAGGGAAAACAGGTAGAGAAAAACCGGACTCCATGTCGCCATTGGGCGGCACAATCTTATATCACACACACCATGCATATCAATCGCTTTTTCTTTCCCAGTCTTGCAGAGTCCATCCAAGTATCTCTTTATTAAAGCGGGGGTGTAAATCAGCAGTTGTAAAACATGTAAAACATGACGGAGGAAGGAGATGAAATATGCGTGCTCCACGTGGCTGTCGAAAAGGGAGGGTGGCCATAAGATCATTAAGTCCGGGCTCTGAAATTATAGCTTCATCAACCACATGCCAACACTCGGGGCGGTAACTGGGCAACAAAAAAAAAGGAGTGCCATTATGGCTTTTCCAAAAGGGATCCAAGAGGCAGCGCTCTCTTGTTGGGTGTGGCACTTCAAGGCGCCTCCGGAGACACCGAAGCCGGCGCCCAGTAGCCAATGGGCTGGCTCCCCGGAGAGCGCGGGAAGCCAATCAGATCCCGGAGGGGAGCGTCCCTGCGGGAAGGCAAAGCACGTTTATGATCTATCTCCTCGCCTTCGAGCGAGTTTCTCGCTGACAGCGGCGCTGCGCGGACGTCGGAATTCCCACCAGGAGATCCGTGGCTGCCGCGGGGATCGCAGCGGGCAGAGAGAAGGCCGGGAGAGAATGGCTCCTCCGCTGCAGGAGACCGCGTCGGGAGTGGGGTCGGGAGCGGGAGTTGAGGAGAAGAGGGCCAACGGGGGCGGCGAGGTCCGTTCCCGCCGCTTCTTCACCTGGGAGGAGATCCAGCAGCGCTCGGGTCGGATCAAGCCCGAGCGGTGGCTGGTGATCGACAGGAAAGTCTACGACATCAGCAGCTTCCACCGGCGGCACCCGGGAGGCTCCAGGGTGATCAGCCACTATGCCGGGCAAGACGCCACGGTGAGAGTGGTGTGCGGGTTGTGCTCCTCTTCCTCCTCGGGGGGGGGGGCGGGTTGCAGGTCGCGGCGGGGAAGCCCTCGTAGCCCTGGATTACCAAATGCGCAAGGCGGAGATGCGGATTACCAGTCGCTCTTCCCTGGGACCGGCAACTTTTGGGATGGTTCTAGAACGGAGTTATCCTGGTGAATGACACGGGATGCGCGTAGAGGTCGTGTGAACGTTTCAGCTTGGCAATAGTTGGCCCCCCTGCCCTGACGGTTTCTTCCTGGCGCTCTCCTAGCTGGTGCTTCCCTCCTCAGGAGGGGATGGTGGTCTCAAAACTACCTGTCAATTTCCTTTTGCTGCGTCTTTGGCTTTTATTTCACACTTGCTAATTAGCGGTTACTATTAAGGCGCCGCAAGCCTAGCATAATGAGTTCCATATCAGATCGATAATGTGTAGGTTTATCTCGGTCCAGCGGAAACGAGCAAGCACTGCACAGGCCTTTCTTGTGCTAGGCCTGCCTGGGAGCCCAGGGCCTTTCCACCATGCAGGCCCGCCCAGCAGCGCCCACTGCTGCCCCCCTCCCAAAGTAAGGTGCTGGCCCCATGTTCACGTTTGGTCAGTCTTCATTGAGCCAAAGGTTGGGGGCATCCTCTTCCAGGGCCCCTGTGGAGCAGTGTGTGGGGCACCTATTTTGGGGGCGGGAGGGGGCAGCTCAGAGACCAGGGGCAGCAGCAGTGGCTGCCCAGAGGACTCCCAAGGAGAGTGGAGAGGGGGCTGAGGGAACACCTGAGGGCGGGTGTTTGAAAAAGGGTGAGAGGCTGCCAGCTCTGCAGGCAAGGGGTGACATAACTGGGCTCCTGAGTCCCACGGGGTGCTGCAGAAAGAAGGTAGTTGGTCAAGGGAGCCGTGGACTCAAAAAGGTTGAAAACCTGTGCATGTTGGCATTGAGTTACCTATAAATAAATAGTTTTCTTCTCACCAAATATATGCAGATTCACTGTCAGCTTCCCTGAGTCCTACATAAAATATTCCTAATCCAGCCTTGCAAATATGCCCACCACATTTACTCATGCAAATTTTTCTAGCCCACCAGTCCGTGTGTGTGTGTGTGTGTGTGTGTGTGTTAGTTATATGTGATCCCAAAGAGAAAAACTAAGTTTTATAACAACTCTTGGGTTGTGTGGAGAGGTGTGTGTGTGTGTGTATTAGTTTTCATTTATATACATTTCAGTTAGTTGTTTTACAATAGTTGTAACATTTAAAACCTTGATTTCCTTCCTCCTCTTTCCGCGGTTCCTTAAATTTATTTTCATCATTTCCTGCATATTCTAAATTAACTTATTCTTTTATTCATTATTTTAATTATATATTCTTTCAATATATTCTTATTTCAATAATCCTGCCAATGTCTTTATCTGTTTACAATTTGTTTGTAAATATTCAATAAACCATTTCTGTCCTTTTACAAAAAGTTTGTTATCTTGACTTCTTATTCTTCCGGTAAGTTTTGCCATTTCTGCATAGTCCTGCATGGAAATAATTTTAACTTACCATAGGTGAGAAAGAAAATATTTAAAAGCCTGGTTTCTTGCCTATGTGCTGATTGTTGTGGAAGGAGGCATGCAGCCACACATATAAGAAATGGGTGTAGCATATATACATGTGCATACAGGAGATGTTAAATCATCACACTAGTGGTAAGAAGGATGCTAATAAAGAAAGAAATGGGTTGTGAATGAATGACCATATATGTGTAGTAGAAAAGATGTGACTCTGTCTCTTAAAATATTGCATTACTGTTAAGCATTTAAGAAGCGTACATGTACACACAGAGAGATCTGTGGAATGGAAAAGAAGACACATCTTAAGACCCATAGATGCAAAGTGGGAAGTCAAGAAAAGATTAAATACTTTTGTCTAGTATAGTATATGAGACATGTGCTTAGGCTGGAGATACGTCATGTCTGTGATATAAAGGGGAGAGATTTAATAAGAGTTGTTTCATCACAGTACAAAATTCCTACATAGAATTTTAGGTTGAAAATAATGCACAGGACAGGTCCCCCCCCCCCCATGCTCAGCTGTTGAGAAACTACCCTCAATTGCAGGGTGAATGAAAAGTAGTGGAGAAAAGAAACAGATACTGGACCTGGAAGTAACACAGGCCATGTTACCTTACACACTTGCATGAAAACAACAGATATAAATGTAGATGAGGTGCACAGCCAACACTCCTTCAACCCTCAAATGAAAATGGCTGCAAATAAGCTGTGTAGCACATGCAGCAAATTCTTTGTTTTGAGGCTACTTTTCATCTCTCACTTCTGCCTAGATGTATGCTTGCCTTTCATTCCATCCCAATTTTACGCTTTTTTCCCTTTCTCTCCCAGGATGCATTCACGGCATTCCACCTTCATAGGGATTATGTAAGCAAGTTCTTGAATCCCTTGCTGATAGGAGAATTGGCACCAGATCAACCTAGCTCTGAGTCCAGCAAAAATGTAAGTTGGGTATGGGAAATAATTTATATGTCTATCTTTTTTTACCTTTACACTGGAAGAAAGCAGGGAAATCAGAATTCCATTCCACATTGCATATCACTATATGGTGCACATAATATTGCACCACTAAAGAGTGGTTTATGTTCTGTTGTCAGCAGAGGGGACGCATCTCATCTGCATTTCAAAATAAGGAAAGCTAAGACTACATTGTGACTGAGAGCTCATCCACACTTCTGGTTGGTCCATGATTCCTAGGGTAGGGGTCCAAGAGGTTTTTCTTTCGTCCTGCTGCTTTACTGTTGAATTGGAGCAAACATCAGTTGGATATTCTGTGGATTGACGTTTGTTCTGATTCAGCAGTAAACAGCAGAATTTAAGAAAAACCTCTCTGACCTGTGTCTAGAAGTCATGGACCAAACAGAAGAAGTAATGGGACAAATGGAAGTGTAAATGAGCCTTCAGACAGTATGGCAAACACCCGAAATAAATATATTTCATGTTTTCTCCTTTAACTAGGCTTACAATCCATTCCTATCCCTCATTATGTAATGCAGGTGTCAGGGAACCTTTGGTCTTCCAGATACAGTGGTACCTCGGGTTAAGAACTTAATTCATTCTGGAGGTCCGTTCTTAACCTGAAACTGTTCTTAACCTGAGGTACCACTTTAGCTAATGGGGCCTCGTGCTGCTGCCATGCCGCCGCTGTGCAATTTCTGTTCTCATCCTGAAGCAAAGTTCTTAACCCGAGTTACTATTTCTGGGTTAGCAGAGTCTGTAACCTGAAGTGCCTGTAACCCGAGGTACCACTGTATTGCAGGGCTACAACTCCCATCATCCCCAGCAAGCATGACGAATGGTCAGGGATAATGCGAATTGCACTCCAGCAACATATGGAGGGTCGTAGATTCCCTGCTGACCCACAGAAGAAAGAAATTTAATATGTTTAGATCTCTTATTGAACAAACTCATCTGTGAACTAAAATTCACAAGAGAATACTCCTTGTTGCACTTTACTACATAAGCTGTAAAAAAAAGGTAAAGGACCCCTGGACAGTTAAGACAACTTTCCGGGTCATGTGGCCAGCATAACTAAACTACTTCTGGCACAACAGGGCACCATGACGGAAGCCAGAGCACGTGAAAACGCCATGAACTGCTAGGTTGGCAGAAGCTGGGACAGAGCAATGTGAGCTCACCCCATTGCGCAGATTGGAACTGCTGACCTTCTGATCAGCAAGCCCACAGGCTCAGTGGTTTAGACCACAGCGCCACCCGCGTCCCTACATACATACATACATACATAAACTGTATGTTGTTGGGCATATTGGCCCTACAGATGTGTATTACGATGTTCCTTTTGATTTAAGCTCTGAGTAAGCATACACAGGATTTCATCCTTAGACTGGTTTAAGACAGGGAAGTTTAGAAAAAAAAGGAGTAGGGATCTTTAACTTAAAAGAAAACTCCCAGGAGCCTCATCAGATCTTGGGATTCTTTGGTGAACGCAATGGCAATAAAAGTTAATTTGTAGTGGAGAGGCCTGCAAAGGATTTCACTGTGTGCCTTCTTGCATGACATTTTATTTTCATGCAGTAATGCTGTGTATGTTTATAAGTATTCCAGTTGGCTATAGTGCCCCAAAGTTTTAGTATAATAAACTCAGATATATAAAATAACTTGACAGAATCATGAGGATGGATTAGCCTTGCAAATAAGTCCACAGAAGTTACTTGCCTGCAGAATTTTTTATTACCCAGCTGCCTGCAGTTCCCTAAGTCGCTTTTTGCCTTCTGTTATCCAACACTTTTCAAAGTTTGTTTGCTACACTTAGGGTATGTATAACTAACTAACTAACTAACTAACACACACACACACACACACACACACACACACCACACACTGATTTGGGGCTACAATGGCCAAGCCAAAAGTTGTGGCCACCTTACAATCTGGGTGCAGACAAGGAAGCATTTCCATAAATCAGCAAAGGCATTTTCCACCCCTGTGCCCTCCTTTCCTTTCCAGGAGGCAAGGCAGAGGTGAGCATTCCAGCCTTGGCTGATAATGGGTGAAGGGGTTCAGTTCCACCTAGCAGCTGCTGCGGGAGATTCCCTCTCTTCTCAACTTCTCTGTTCTGCAGGAAAGAGGCAGGGGAACCTGTGGGCTTCAGCTCATGTTGATAATGAACCCCTCCCATTCTGCCGAACAGTAGCTGTATCTGCCTCCTCACCTCCTTTTCCTGCGAGAAAGGGAGATTGTGGGAGGTGGTATACTTCCAGCCCCTCACCCTCAGCTTTCCTCCAAAACTTGGATCTGGTGAGGATGCGGGAATCACTGTGGATCTGCCAGAATGACGCTTGCCCATCTCTGCAGCTTGAATCCTGGGAAGAAGGCTCGTCAGAGAGCAGTACCACGGTTCATACAGATAGCATAACTGTCAAAGACTGGCTGGTAAATGGTGATCTAAAGAATGGGAATGAACTTCTGGAAACACTACAGTTGTAACAGGGAGACTACATGGGCTCCCCAGCCATATATTTCTCCGAAGGCTTATAATCATTCATGTTGAGAAGGCGAGAAGACTTTTAATGGCATAAACAGTGGCATAACCGAGCCTGTGCTCAGGACAGATGACAGTTTGTGGTCTCTCTTCACTGCCACAACTCAGTGTGCATAGCTGGAAACTTCTCCTTGTGCCACAGGAATCACCAGAGGATTTAGTGATGTGGCTAGTACTGTGGAGAGCAAGTATGGGGGACTTGTGGTCCTCCAGACGTTTTTGGACTCTTAACTCCCATCAGCCCTAGCCAGTGTGGCCCAATGGATGATGGGAGTTGGAGCCCAACAACACCCGTAAGTGGTTCTCCCTGTTTTCATTTGATGCATTCCGATGTTACGTGTGTGTGTGTGTGCGCGCGTCTGGAACAACTGGTTGCTATTCTTTGTTTCCCCACAGAAATTGCTAGTGGAGGATTTCCGGGAGCTGCGGTCCACTGTTGAGAAGATGGGACTTCTGAAGCCCAACACTCTTTTCTTCTTCCTGATGTTCCTTCAAATCATAGTGATGGATGCTGCTGCCTGGTTTACCATCTGGTACTTTGGATCATCCTTAGTGCCGTTCTTTGTGGGCGTTGCACTGTTTACCACCGCTCAGGTAGAATGTCAGAGACACCATTCCATCTTTGAAACTGTTTTTTCCTACACATTATTATTTCAAAAATACCATGGGGTTCATGAAACCAGAACACAGTCCAATGCAGCTAGCTCTTCACAGCACACTTGGGTTTGGGGTTGTTTGTTTGTTGCCACAAAAACCAAAGCTATTTCCTTGTGCTACATTATAAAGTACTTGTGGAACTTTGGAAAGTCTCTAGAGAACTTTGCTGTTTGAAAATCCATATTCAGGCAGGGTAGTTTATCCATGCACTTATAGTTTAATAGCTTCACCAAGAATCAGACACAAAATCTGTTTTCAGTTTCATGGGTCAACCCTGGTAAATATGGGGGTGTTGTTGTTTCTGCATGGGCATAATCTTAGTAAAGAAGGAAAAGCCTTCTAGACCCTTCTAGCACCTATTACATCCCCTTATGCCAGCTTCTTTGACCTAGGGAGTCAAACTGCCCCCTCTTCCAACAAACTGGAAAGAAGCAATATACACAGACTTAGAGCCTATTGTGTAAGGCAGGGGTGAGGAATCTGTGACCCTCCAGATGTTGTTTGATTCAGCTCCCATCAGCCCCAGGGATGATGGAAGTTGTTGTCCAGAAGCATCTGGAAGGCCACAGGTTTCTCAGCCCTGGTGCAGGGAGAGATGTTAGGCAGGTCAGAAGTCGCACACAAACCTCCTGCACCATGATTTTTTTGAAGAGGCAAGTGACATGTTAATCTGGCAATATTCAGCCTTCAACAAATCCACTCGCCATAGCAAGTAAAGCATGTTTCCACTGCCTTGTGTCCTTCTTTTTAAAGACAGGTGATTTATGGACTTGAATCTTTCAAGAAAAATAGTCTGTGAGCCCCTAAAAGCTTTTATGGAGCTGTGGCATTGGATTGTGATTAATGGATATATTTAAATAACATGATTGAATATACTTACACTAGTTTAGAAAGGGATCATGGGGCATGGGCTGTAATATTAGGGTTAAAGAGGTCAGGAATTAATGCTGGAGCCTCTTGTGACTGCTTTACTGGTTGCTGATAGGGAGAATAATATTTGTGTGTGTGTTTTGGTGCTTGTCTTTTTAAACTGCTATGTGAAGAACAAATATATTAATAACATTCATTGATTCAATTTGCATATTACCTTTAATCATTCAAAAGGGCATCCCCAATTAGTCGAGAAATGCTTTGCCCTAGTTCAGATCAGCATCAGCATCATATAGACAATCTTCAGGCCTGTTAGCTCCATCCTCTGCCTTTCTGGTACAGCTGCAAGGTGGAAATAAGCTTTTGTCTTTAACTAACCTTAGTTTAGTGTTGTGTTCATGCCAGGATAAACTGGTTAGTCTGAACTATGGTTACCTGAAACAAGCCTGACTCCAACCATAGTGTCAGAGCTGCTTCCAGATCCTAGCTCACAGAGGATCACGCTAGCCAGCGGTCACTTGTAAAAGTCTTTTATTGAGTTACAGTTTCCATTCTCAAGCTGCTGCGTGCAACTCTACGTCTTATGGCTAGACCGGCGAAGCTCCGTCTGAGTCTCCGCCCCCTGTACACCAACTTAATATCCTAGCCCTGTCCCACCTTTTCCGCCTGACTGTTCTTCTCTGGGTCCCTCTGCCCCCCGTGGTCTCTTCCTTCCTGGACTCTTCTGACGCTGACCCCCCGGACCCTCCTGTCTTCTTGCGCCGGGCTTTAGGACCTGGCTCCCTTTCCGGGCTGCCTCCTGCGCCACCTTCCTGTGCATTTGAACTTGGCGCGCGCGCCCAACCTTCCACCTTCCGTCTAACCGTTTCTTCGCTCCCCGATGGAGGTGTGGCCACTCCTGACTCGTGCCCTCCCTCCTGTTGTGAGCTGCCAGCGCTTGATCCCTGGCGCCCTTCCTCTTCCCTGCTCTCTGGCGGTGACGCTGGTCCCGATTTCCAACTGCTCTCCTCTGAGTCCCCTCTGGCTCTATCTTCCTGGGGTGTCCCCCTAGTCTCCCCCCTTGCCCTGGCCACTGGTGCTCCTTTCTGTGAATCTTCTGATTCACTGGAAAGACTCGGAGATCTCGGGTCGTCGTCATCACTCATCTTTTCTTCTGCCTCCTCCCCCTCGCTCTCTGTTTCCTCCCTTGCCCTTGCCTCTGCTCCTGAACCCCTGACACATAGTTTATGAAGTTGGCTTGTTTCAAAATCATAGTTAATAACAGACACAACACTAAAGTGCCATTAATTGAAAACAGAAGTAAAATCATTCAGTCTCATCTTTGTGGTCATGCCAGAGGAGGAGAGGGGAGAGAAGCAAGTAAGCCCATGGCTTGGGAAGTAATCCTTAACGACATCTTAGCATTACATCCAAACCAGGCCATAGTGTTTCCCAGCTAATTGGGGATTCCATTTGAGATAATTAAAGCCTGCAATCTTATGTAAAAAATAATTGCCTTTGGCATGGATGATCTCCTGGGACTTTATTAAAAAAAAGAGTAATTGCATTGTTTTCATTCTATGTTTAGTTATTGAAAAAAATGAAAAAAATTGTCCAGTAGCGTATTAGAGACCAACTAAGTTTGTTCTGGGTATAAACTTTCGTGTGCATGCACACTTCTTCAGATATGCACACGAAAGCTTATACCCAGAACAAACTTAGTTGGTTAATTTTTTTATTTATTTTGACTGCGTCAGACCAACACAGCTACCTACCTGAATCTATGTTTAGTTGTGCAATGGATCTGAGTTATGTTTTCTAAATGATCCTCTTTTTTATCTTACAGAATCAAATGTCCTGGTTGCAGCATGACTTGGGACACCTTTCAGTCTTCAGCACATCCACATTGAACCACTGGGTTCACAAGATCTTAATGGGCACAGTGAAAGTAGGTATATTTCCCCTTCTGAGTGGAAGCTGTCCTTTCTGACAGCCAGTGGGTTTGACTGAGAGCCAGTGTGGTGTAGTGGTTAAGAGCGGTAGACTCGTAATCTGGGGAACCGGGTTCGCGTCTCCGCTCCTCCACATGCAGCTGCTGGGTGACCTTGGGCTAGTCACACTTCTCTGAAGTCTCTCAGCCCCACTCACCTCACAGAGTGTTTGTTGTGGGGGAGGAAGGGAAAAGGAGAATATTAGCCGCTTTGAGACTCCTTAGGGTAGTGATAAAGCGGGATATCAAATCCAACTCTTCTTCTTCTGCTGCTCTGTTTTCAACCCTGTGTTCTCCTCTCCTATAGGGAATGCCAGCCCAGTGGTGGAATAACCTGCATTTCCAGCACCATGCCAAACCCAACTGTTTCCGTAAAGACCCTGATCTCAACATGCACCCCCTGGTGTTTGCTTTGGGGAAGAAGCTGGCTACAGAGGTACGTTTGCAAGGTGTATGCTACTGAAGGGTTGCTTAGGAAAGCAGCCAGAAAGAGTGGACAGCCAAGAATAAAGCTATTGGGCAGCTTACACGAGACAGCCATGATGTTCAGCAGGAAAACATCAGATTTAAAAAATATTTTAAATTGTATAAAATATAAAGATTACACACACACACACAATTATAAAAACAAATAATATATAAACATGATATATAGAAGATAAAATATTGACATGTTTTCAGACCTTATTTCCTTTACCTACACTAACAAAACTGTCTGAAGGGAAAGAAAAAGAAATGAAAACTGAGTAACTATACATTCATATAGAAGCAACATACCACCAACATTTTGTATAGATATAATCAAACTGAATGTCCATAAAGAAAGTATTTCTTATGTCTTAATTTTTCATTCTTAGCATAACTTATAATTTTACCCTTGGTTAAAAATTCTTTCAAGTTGCTCAGTTACTGAGAAGTAAGTCCTCTTGAGTTCAATAAGACTTATTTCCAGGTAAACGTGTACAGGAGCAAGTCCCATTGACTTCAATGAGGCATTTTAGGTTTTAGTTTTAGTAGATATGCAGAGGATTGTGATATAAAGGGGCAACACCTGAATTTCTTAATAAGCCAAGTACCTGTTTTGCTATTTCTATGTTCTGTGTGTCTTCCGAGCTCCTAGTTTGGATTGTTGATTCGAATGCTGCCTACATTTTTATGATCTGTTGTCCATCAGGAAAGACCACAGAGATATATAATGGGGTCAGGAAGGTACAACCGGCCCTAAGCAGAGAATGATCATTCATGCTGTGAGGGTCCTGGTGGGAAGAAAGACAGGCTTAAAGTGTAATAAATTAAATAGCTTTTGGGGGGTAGATCATCCCAGTTGGCCTCTCTCTTTCTCATTTATGGTAGCAAGGATGTGTATTTTCATAAGGTCATGACCCAACCTTGGTTATGATTTTTATTTCCACACACCCCATTCTATGATGAAGTCCAGGGGGAGATGGGAGTCAAGGTGCTAAGTATATTTTATTCATGTAGCAGCTGTCACCCAGAGACTGAAAGAATAGGCGACAGGTGATAAGGTGGGTGTCTATAGCCTGAGTGAGACGTTGATACCTCTTTCTTCACAGCTCGGGTTGCAGAAAAAGAAGTATATGCCTTACAACCATCAGCACAAGTACTTCTGGCGTGAGTATCTTTGTCCCTGAAAAATGTCACAAGTTTCCACTCCATTTTCACAGAGCTTCTCCTTCCTGAAGATACTTTCCTAAGTGAAATAGTGTGAATATCTGCTGGGTAGAGAGTCTTCTGTCACGGGACTTGTGCTTGATGGAGTCCCTGATCCACCTCCCCAAGAGCCACAACTCATCAGGTCCAGCCAGGGGCAGGGCAGGGAGCAGCTGCTACCACAAAATCTTAACGAAGGGCTCTTGGAGCTCATAAGTTTAAATTCCCTGGAGGAACCAATCAGAGAGAAAGGGGAGAAAAGTTTCCTGAGAAGGGAAAGATGGGCCCAGAGGCCTAAGGAGCTTTCAGCTCTTGGTTTCCTGAGAGGTTCTTCCCCAACCTGCATGAAGTTACAGAGAGTTTTGAATAGGGGAATCCCCTGCCCCCCCAACCCTATATAAGGGAACCTGGCTACTGTTCTGGGGTGCCCCAAAGAGGATCTTGTGCCATTTTGGTTTTATGTAGCATTATATTTATATCCCACCTTTCCTCCAGGGAACTCAAGGTGGCCTACAGAATTCTCCTTCTCCTTCTCCCCATTTTATCCTCACAACCCCTCTGTGATGGAGATTAGGCTGAGAATGCCATAACCTCTAGATCTCTCACTTCCCAAGCTCTGTAGCTCAGGGAAGGGAGCTACTAGGGTATATGTTCATTCCTGTTGGATTGAGCCTTTGATGTTTGTCTCCGACATCTCGGGGGGTGACCCAGGCTCTGAGAAAGATGAGGTAGAGCCTATGGAAAATGAGTCGTTGCTCCTCTGCAAGACCTTTGGAATCTGTGGCTTTACAGCACTAACCTTCAATAAACTTTGAGTTTATTGAAGGTTGAGTTGATGTAGTGGTTAAGAGCGGTAGTCTCGTAATCTGGGGAACCGGGTTCGCGTCTCCGCTGGGTGACCTTGGGCCAGTCACACTTCTCTGAAGTCTCTCAGCCCCACTCACCTCACAGAGTGTTTGTTGTGGGGGAGGAAGGGAAAGGAGAATGTTAGCCGCCTTGAGACTCCTGAAGGGAGTGAAAGGCGGGATATCAAATCCAAACTCTTCTTCTTCTTCTTTCCTTGTCTCATTGTTAGTTGGGGATGTTAGTTTTGAGCTTATTCTTCACTCCCCTGCTCCCCATGGACCACAGAGCATTCAATGTGCCCCTTTCTCAGGACATTGCCATACAGTGGTGCCTCGAAAGACGAAAATAATCCGTTCCGCGAGTCTCTTCGTCTAGCGGTTTTTCCGTCTTGCGAAGCAACCCTATTAGCGGATTAGCGCTATTAGCGGTTTAGCGGCTTAGCGGCTATTAAAGGCTTAGCGGCTAAAAGGCTATTAGCGGCTTAGCGGCTATTAAAGGCTTAGCGGCTTAGCGGCTATTAAAGGCTTAGCCGCTTAGCGGCTAAAAGGCTATTAGCGGCTTAGCGGCTATTAAAGGCTTAGTGGCTTAGCAGCTAAAAGGCTATTAGCGGCTTAGAAAAAGGGGGGGAGCGAAAAAAATCGCAAGACTCGCAAGACGTTTCCGTCTTGCAAAGCAAGCCCGTAGGGAAAATCGTCTTGCGAAGCGCATCGAAAAACGGAAAACCCTTTCGTCTAGCGGGTTTTTCGTCTTGCGAGGCATTTGTCTTGCGGGGCACCACTGTACATAGAAAGGGCACAGGTTATAGAATCCTAGCCAGCAGAGTTTGAAAACCAGAGAATATAGGATAATAGCACACTGCAGTGGCGTAGCGTGGGTTGTCAGCACCCGGGGCAAGGCAAGTAATTTGCGCCCCCTAACCCGTGGATTTGCCCTAACCCCAGATGTTGCGCCCGGTGCGGCCGGCCCCCCCTGCACCCCCCACGCTGCGCCACTGGCACACTGCATATCTGTTGGGCCATAGGGTGAAAGTGAAATATAGCAGTACGATCAGTAAAAATTTGAGAATAAAAATTTATAGCTTAAGAAGAGGCATTTAAGACTATGCATTGAGTTGCTTTAACCACACTGCAGGGGAGAATTGGAACAAAGATGGCGGAAATTTTATCTTGCTGGCCGTCAGACTCACCCCTTGAAGCAGATAAAATGGAGTTATCGAGTGAGGACAAATACTAGCTGGATAAGGGAAAGGCAGAAAAAATGAAAAAGAAGAACCCTTCTGTGAGCAAAGACAAGCAATTCTCAGCTTTCTCAGGAAGATGGATGGAAATTTGAATTTTTTATAAAGGTTGTTTTTTAAAATCTTCCTTTTGTTTTTCAACAGTTGTAGCCCCAGCATTGCTGGTTCCCTTCTTCCAGTGGTCTGTATTCTACTTCTCATTCAAGCGCAAAGAATGGGTGGTAAGTAGTGATTGAATTTCCAAAAATATATATCTAGATGAGCATCTTATCTGTGTTGATTTCCCCCCTAATTCCCACCAAGAAGCAGATTTCTTTTTAATCTGTTCCACTAAAAATGCAAACAGTTATTGCACATTATATGCATTATTATACATATTGTTACATGCAGTGCTTTTTTCCGGGGGGACGGAGGTGTACACATACCCCTAAACATTTTGTGAATCTTTGTACTTTGGTCCATTTACTGTATTTATTTTCCCAATTTGAACTATAAAATGGTGATTTTCTTGAGTCAAAATGAGAGTACCCCTAAACATTTTTTTAGGTAAAAAAGCACTGGTTACATGCCACCCCAATCTCTGCTGAGTGGTGCGTGCGAATTCAGGGGTTCCAGGCACTTACCCAGGGTTTGTGTTTCCTTTTGGTGGTGTCTTTATGGTATATGGTTGGTTTATGCATATATACAACCTGAAGCCTAGATGAAGGGGCTCAGAGCGCTGCCACCCCAAAAGGTCCCTGCTTCTTCCCTAGCCGTAGCCTTGCACTCAAGCCGACAGCAGCCATCATGCTTTGCCCACTCTCCAGCATACATCCCTGCTGACTCCCACGTATTGACTGGCTTCCTCTCTGAGCTCCCATTGCTTTCTGATCCTTCCTCTTTATAAGCTCTGGCCTCTACTAACACAGGGAGAGGCTGCACTCCTTTGATGTACTAAATGGCTCATTACCTCAAATGAAATTAGGTTTTACACTTGTCAATTGCCTAGCCTTAAAGCGATGGCAGATATACACCTTAGGAAGTTTGCCTAGGTTAATTCACTCTTCACATATACTAATTCCAGCAGCGGTCAACACAAATTTTAAATACACACGCCACTGTGTAGCAAAAAATATAACCTTTCTTTTTCCCCTTCCTTTGACAGGATCTAGCCTTGATCATTTCATACAACATCAGAGTCTGTCTCATGTACATACCTCTTATGGGATTTAATTGTTTCATGGCATACTACTGGCTCTCCAGGTAACACGAAACCTCAGAATCCTTCTCTCTGCTGAACTCTCATCTCTTTTTTGTTGATGTTTAATCTCAAATATCTATATTTTTTTTATCCAATTGTGATATACTCTGAACATATGTTACTTCCAACAGTTAGGTCCTGCTAGTCATTTTAGGTTAAACGCTTTCAGGTTGTGCAAGATGGTCTTCAATTTGCATTGCATCAGCCCCCAGACTGCAACTCAAATCTTTTGCCCCATAAATATTGTTATGTCCTGCACACATCAAGATGCTAGCTCAACATGGCCTTTAGTTAACATTTGAGAGACATTTATAAACTAAGACACCAGAAAGAGAAGCGTTTCTCACATTTTGTTTAGAAAGCATAGCCAGTGATGGAAAGGGGTGGGGGCAAAAAAAGAAAGAAAAAGGAGCATGTGCCCTGGGCATCAGGTGGAGGGGCGATTGCTAAATTATGGGCAATGGTCAGCTGGCTTGCTAAATTACCGGCAACAGGGAAAATAAGCACTAGCAAACACAGCCGGCACTCTGCTTCCCTGACCATGGCAATGTGCTGTGTCCCCCTCCACCACAGTCCCTGTTTGTTCCAGGGATCAAGGTGAGGAGGGGGAAGTGAGCTGTGGCACCACGGACCTGTCGCTTCTCTCTTGTTTTCTTCTCTCCCCCCGCCCCCATCCCAGAAAGCTTTCTGGCCCCTCTTCTCCACAGACAGCTGCTCCTTAAGGTGTCAGCAAATACACTTGATCACCGTGGCCCTGAGCAACGCGGCACAGGGAAGACCGTCAGAGATTTCATTGCCTTCTGTGGCTTGTGTGCCTGGGGACTTGGCAGAGCTGGGGAAGGTGGGAGCATCACCCGTGGCTGGCAATGGACTTGCAAGAGGATGGTTGGTAGGATGGGGGTGGAGGTAAAGAGCTAGGGGGACGGGGAGAGACAGGCGGGCAGGAGAGAAAGGCAAAACCAAGTGCGCTCTAGCCTGCTTGTTTTTCTGTTTCTGGAAGTGCACGTCTATGTTTGGTGTGGGTGCATGCAAACGCCGCCTCTTTTCAGCGCAAGTTGGTAGGTGCATTCAATCCAGCGTCAGTGCATCTCATGTTGGCTGGGGCCGCTGTGTTTTGGGGGGCTGAGCCCTAAGCATAGTTGGTGGTGGGCACTGCCACAGTAGAGTTGCTACTCCAAAAGCTGGGAATCATCTAAGCTAGTTCTAAGCATCATGAACGGTTGTGGGAATGTAGCAGAGGAGTGGGAGAGGGACCTTACATACGCCCAGTGGGCTTGCCAGAATGCAAGCAGGGACAGGAGGCTGCTTTAGTGTTTGTTTGGGGTGGATAGGGTAACCTGCCTTCTGAAAAAATGGAATGGAGAAATCCCTCCTTTTCAACTCCTGGGGACAGAAGGGGGAAAGGTCAGGTCTGCCTTTGAAGAAGAAGAAGAAGAGTTTGGATTTGATATCCCGCCTTTCACTCCCTTTAAGGAGTCTCAAAGCGGCTAACATTCTCCTTTCCCTTCCTCCCCCACAACAAACACTCTGTGAGGTGTGTGGGGCTGAGAGACTTCAAAGAAGTGTGACTGGCCCAAGGTCACCCAGCAGCTGCATGTGGAGGAGCGGAGACGCGAACCCGGTTCCCCAGATTACGAGACTACCGCTCTTAACCACTACACCACACTGGCTTTGTTCTCTCATTTGCCTTCTTCTGATATTAATTCCTGTGCACTGCCCTGTACACTTAGCCAAGGATCTTAGCTGCCGCCAGTCAGTTTAAGCAGTCCTGAAATCCGTCGCTTAAAGTTCACAATCAGGGAGGCAGGGCAGTCTTTGGCACTTGCGGATCCGGGATTGGGCATAGCTGCAGGCTAAGTAGCACAAATGATTGTGTTGCTTCATTTGTGAAATACTTTACTTAGTTCTCAAGGGCCAAGTAAATAAATTGGAGATGGGGGATTGACAACAAGTTGGCTTACCACCACATTCGACACCGTCACATGGATCTGCTTGTTTGTTTTTTAAAACCCACCCTTTACCCTAAAGTCCCAGGGTGGGCTACAACAATTTAAAATACATTTTAAAGCAGTTCAAAAACTTACAATTAAAAATGTCAATTTCAAAAACTAGAGCAGATCCTGATGCTATATCCTTCCCTCTTACTGTATGTGAAGCAGCAACCATCAGTTGCTTCATAGATATTATTAATTTTAGGCTGTATTTCTTGTTTTAATGGATGCTCTTTATGGTTCATATGGATATTTTTTAAAATATTAAACAGATGAATGAAATGCTAGCTAGACATTTGGGTTGTGGTTTGGTGGTAAGTGTCAGGCATGGCTTGTATTGCATGAAAGGAGAAATACCAAAAAGTTAAGCCAGGCAAGAGGCTTGGGTTTGTCACTAGCCACACACAGACCTCTTGTCACTTTCATCTTCTCAGCAGTGTAATTTGCATTATACGGGAAAGGAAAACATGGCAGCTAAAAGAGCAGCTTTGCCCACATACTGGTTTCAAAATAGTTTTTGCAGGATAAATTAGCCAGTGTGCTATTTCTTTCCTGATTAGTCAGCATCAGTTCATAGTTAGTCAGCATCAGCAAATAAAATTTCCTCTATTACTTTACATGTAAGCTGCAATGCCAAGGATATAATTTCCTATATCTTTTGTGGATCTGGTTTTTTAAAAGCCATTGTTACACTGCCTACTTTCCAGTCCTGTGTTATTTGCCTACTCAGTAAAATTTCTAAGCAGTACACATAATAAAATAATTTTCAGTAAACCCCTCAAAGCCCTTTAAATAATTATCAATATTTAACAATATGGACAGAGATTGTATCAATAAGACAGAGACAACAGTGTTTTATACTGCTTTTTGATCAAGCTAAAATTATGATCCATTTATAGACAAGTCCAGCATTGCAGTGGGTTTGACTTAGACGACCCATGTGGTCCCTTCCAACTCCACAAATCTAAGTGACACAATTGTCAGAAGGTCAGCAATTTCAGCTTGAATTCTTCAAGATCTTGGGTTGATTCCTTCCAAACACACGGATTTATTTAGTTTGTCAATAAATCCCAGGACTTAGTCTCTTCTTGCCCCTATTTGGCTTAATTCTTTATACTCCCTCCCTTAAAAATCCAGTTCAGTTGAGTATCTGACCACTGCTTTCTTCAGATGAAAAAATATGGAAATAATGCGTTCAGCTTCACTACTATTCTCCCATTGCAGACCTTTTACTTCCTTGTTGTCTTATGGCCCAGCTACCTACCTCCTTGGCCAATTTCCTGATTCTGAGGTATCTAAACAAATATTTTTGCTGGGCTTTTTTTTAAGCAGACACACTCCTTTTTCTATTTATTACACTCCCCAAATTCTCTTTTCACTTCCATCATTGTCACTGTATGCTGGTTATCCTGCAGTTTGCATTGCTGAGTCCTCCTCATCTGGGCAGAGCTTCATTGTTCTGAAGGAAGCTTCCTTGCCTGCCCTTGCTTCCTGATCTGCTCCTTCACTGGCAGCCTCCTGAATTTCATAGAATCATAGGTTGCGAAGAAGAGTCACATAGTCCAACCCCCTTGCAATTGCAGGAATCTCAGCTAAATTTGATGGCGTCTTTCCCTAAATCTGTGGATATACTTCTTGGAAGCTTTCCTTTTAGTTTGGTTTTTAAATAAATCTCCAAGGATTTTGAAACAATGTTGAACATCATTGTCATCGTTTCATCGTAACTAATCCCTTTGCCCACTTGTGTTATAGTGTGACATTGGCGCTCCACTGTTCCCAGTCAGTTTAACTACCCATTATATCTTACACCCAAAGCATTTAGGATTACGTCTAGCATCAACTCCCACAGCTCCTTGATCAATTGTTTTTGTGACGATGGACTCCGCTATGATTATCATTCAATTGCGGACACTTCCTCATCCTCTCAGTTTCGCACCTGAAATCATTGTTGGTTCGCTCATAGCGTTTCTTTTACGCTTTCCAACACTCGTCGCGCAGCAAGGACATCAAGGAGGGTTTGGTGCCACCGCGTGGTTAAAGGCAGAAAAGGCAACGTTTAGGGAAGTAGAACTCCCATCAAGCAATTTCCTTTCCTGCCTTTGTCGAAGCACACATTCCCAATTTCAGTTCCCCTCTCCTCAGGCATTTACTGTAATTTCATTTTCTACCTATTTTTCCTGTCTCTCCCCCCCCCCCCCAGGTTATATGAGGATTATTATGTCCTCCATTGTTGCAACACTTCCTCTCTCTCTTTTCCCTAATCAAGTATTTTAGTTGAGTTGCTTTTGGCTCTAGAGTTATTTATACAGCCTGTCAAATTTATACAGCCTGTCAAATTCAAAATGGGCAATTTTAGCTTTGCTTACCAAATATGACTTGAAATAAACATACTAAATATGTTTAGGGCATTAAAAAAAAATCCAGAACATGAAGATTTCTGGTGTGGAGGCAGCCTTGCTCTCACTTACTATGGATATTTCCTTAGGACTGCTTCACCTATTCTAGTAATAGAGCAATAGAGGTACAGATTTAGTGCAAAGTATGCCATGAAGTGGGATGCGAGTGGCGCTGTGGTCTAAACCACAGAGCCTAGGGCTTGCCGATTGGAAGGTCAGCGGTTTGAATCCCTGCAACGGGGTGAGCTCCTGTTGCTCAGTCCCAGCTCCTGCCCACCTAGCAGTTCGAAAGCATGTCAAAGTGCAAATAGATAAATAGGTACCGCACCGGCGGGAAGGTAAACGGCGTTTCCGTGCGCTGCTCTGGTTCGCCAGAAGCAGCTTTGTCATGCTGGCCACATGACCCGGAAGCTGTCTGCGGACAAACGCAGGCTCCCTCGGCCTATAGAGTGAGATGAGCGCACAACCCCAGAGTCGTCCGTGACTGGACCTAATGGTCAGGGGTACCTTTACCTTTACCTTTTTATGCTATGATGTATGCAATCGGTGTGGGGCAGGGACCTTACAGTGAAGGGTGTACTCTTTGAAGTTTAAATGTGTACCTGTTTCTATTTTAATATGTAAAGTGGTCCTCAGCAAACAGCTTGAATATGGCTGTGATGGGTTTTACCAGACAAATCCCAGATCAACATACCAAGTTAAGTAACAAGATGTGTTTTTTGTGTGTGACAATGCTCTGTATGAACCAACCCGGACCCTGCAATCATCAATTGAGTCCTTTTGTTGTGTGCCCCCTTCATGAGAGGCTTGGAGGGTGGCAACACGAGAAAGGGCCTTTTCTGTTGTGGCTCGCCACTTGTGGAATGCTGTTCCCAGGGAGGCTCGTCTGGCACATTCATTAGAAATCTTTAGACTCCAGGCAAAAACATTCTTCTTCTCCCATGCCTTTGGCTGACTGAACAATCAATGTCCTTTTAAACTGGGGGGGGGGATATTGTTTTGTTTGTTTGTTACTATGTTATGCATCTTTGTGTTTTTATATTGTAAACCACTCTGTGGTCCTTGGATGGATGGTGCTATAGAAATTCAATAATAATAATAATAATAATAATAAAATGCATTTGACTTGGCAGGTATCTAGAGTCCACTTGGTTTACTTGGGTTTCACAAATGAATCATATCCCAATGAACATTGATTATGATAGAAATATGGACTGGGTGTCTACCCAGGTAAGACACTTTCTTACTATTCAAATAATTGGTTTCTGGTGTTTTATTGTGTGTGTGTTACGCAAAACGTTATTGGCACAATACTAGTGCATTATTAGTGGCTTTGGCTTGTTCTGCAGTGTTTCCCCAATGCTACCACATTATTTCTGTCTAGAGGGGCAACTGACCAACAAAAGTGGGACAAAATAAAGCAGAACATTTGTGGCACAAAAAGTTACTGGAACTATGGTATATGCACTGATTGGAAATGAAGCAATGTGACCACCACAAAACATTTGGAAGCGATGCAAACGATGTTGGAAATGAGATCACGTATGACCACCCCAATAACATCATGAACAAAATAATCATGAATGCACAGTGGAAAGGGTGTCTGAAGGGGCTCAGAGAGTCATCACAGACACTTTTAGACTAGTGATGGTGCAGAAGACAAAATATGGAGGGGTGGGTGGGTACTGGAATGCAATATAGCTCCAGTTTGGCAAGTCAAGCTGAATACCACCCCCACTCATGCTTCAACTGTGCTTCTGACCGCACAGAAGTTTTTAATGCGGAGTCAGACAGGGATTCATTCATGTATTTGTTAAAACATCCTACCTTTTCTATTTACATCCTACCTTTCCATTATAAATAGAAATGTCCAAGGCAGCCTAAACAAAAGTTTGAAAGCAATCAGTTGTTTTTTTTTTAAAAGCAACCTTCTCCATGTTCCCCCACCAAAGGAAGTACAGCAGACACCTGCTAGGGACATGGTGCCTTCAGTGGTGGAGCCCCCAGGGAGGCTTGTCCGGTGCCTACAACTGTGGTCTTTTTAGCTGCAACCGGAACACCTTCTCGTTCTCCCAAACCTCTTAAATCACAGTTTTGGAATTTGCACAAAGTTCCCCCTTGCGGACTTAATTTTATTGGGCTGCTGTGTTTTTATACTGATTTTTGTTTGCCTTTTTTTGCTGGGCTTTTTGCTTTTGTGATCTATTTTTTAATCTTGTTTTAGTGTTTCTAGTGAAATTTTGTATTGTGTTGTTTGTGTAAAGAATTTGGGGACTTGGTTGAGTAGCATATAAGTAAAATGAAGAGAGCACAGAAACAGAAAGAACCGATTGCAAATCCAGAGGAACCAGGGAAAGTCAGGTCTAAGGCCAAAACCAGAAAGATACCCAGGTGGCATTGAAAAATCCTCAGCCTCTTGCCAGTTTTCCCTGCTGCGAGTTTTCCTCCCCTGCCCCACAAAGAGGTAGCCAGCATGGTCTTCTCCAGCTGACAGTTCCCATCATCCTTGATCATTAATCATGCTGGCTAGGACCAATGGAAGCTGGGAATCAAATAACACCCAGAGATATCTTAATGTATGTAGAAAAGTGGGGTGAGGGGATTATTGGCAGGGGACTGGTGTTGCTGGGCAAACTCCTCCAGACAGAGTCTTTCAGAGCTAAGGGGTACTTTAAAATGTAAATCTCAAGCTCTTCTGAGAGGTCTTTTTTAAAACAACAACAACTACAAAAGCTGAGCCAATTGCAAATTGGGATGGAGGATATTTTGCTTTTTTCCTGTGGGAAAGGAATGCTAAGGAAACACAATCAGTACAGGCAGCCCCCAATTTGTTTAGGGGATGTGTTCCATACAGTGGCGGAGGGTGCGTAAGCCTGCTCCACTCTGCTCTGCTCTGCCCTGTCCCATCCTGTTCTGTCCCAGCTCTTGTTCTGGCCACAATGCACAGTCGTGCGTCAATTAAAAAGGTAAAGGTACCCCTGACCGTTAAGACCAGTCGCGGATGACTCTGGGGTTGCTTACTCTGTAGGCCGAGGGAACCGGCGTTTGTCCGCAGACAGCTTCTGGGTCATGTGGCCATCATGACTAAGCTGCTTCTGGCGAACCAGAGCAGTGCTCAGAAATGCCGTTTACCTTCCCGCAGGAGCAGTACCTATTTATTTACTTGCAGTTTGATGTGCTTTCAAACTGCTAGGTTGGCAGGAGCAGGGACCGAGCAACGGGAGCTCACCCCGTCGCGGGGATTTGAACCACCAACCTTCTGATCAGCAAGCCCTAGGCTCTGTGGTTTAGACCACAGCACCACCCACGTCAATTAGACACACATAAATCAGTCATTGCCTGCATAGCATCTTTTGGAAAGGTGGGATACTTGCCTTTCTGACCATTTCCCTTGAGAAACTGGCTGGAATGCTACTTCTGTGGGATCCAGTTGCTGCTACTTAGAGGAACATAAAAGATAACTGTGCCTCATTCAGTTGCAGTCTCTTTGTGTGAAACAAAGAGATCCATTGTTCCATATCCTTTCTTATATTTCCCCCTGCAGCTCCAGGCAACGTGCAATGTGGATCAGTCCCCGTTCAATGACTGGTTCACTGGCCATCTGAATTTCCAGATTGAGCACCAGTAAGTAGGACAGTGGGAGCCACAAAATCCTTTGTGCATCTCCCTAGGGTATGGTTTTATGAAATCATTGCTAGTGGGATGGGCATTCTAAATAAGAAAGAGGAGCTGATTTGACAGAACACCCTTTCTTCCCTCTCCAGTCTTTTCCCCACGATGCCTCGCCACAACTACTGGAAGGTGGCCCCCCTGGTGAAATCTCTGTGTGCCAAGCATGGCATTGACTACCACAGCAAGTCCCTGCTCCAGGCGTTTGCAGACATTTTGCAGTAAGTATGGCAAGGGTGCTTTATGAACTGCAGTGTGGCAAGAAAAGCAATAAGGAAGTGGAAGAAAAGGGCAAAAAGTACTGGAGCCCTGGTCAGCCACTAACATTTAATAGAGCTTGTCCCTTGATGTAGTCAAGAGCAACACTGGCTCTACCCTCTGTCTAGTGGCACTTCCAGGTGACCTGTTTAAGCATTTATTCCAATTTGTTTGAAGGGATGTTGGATGATGTTGCATCAGAGCAGGTGCTACCCCACATTTCCCAGTGCATTTCTCAATGGCTTTTCTTATTGCTGAGAAGTGTTAAGAAAACACTGCCATCTAGTGTCCAAAGGCAGGAAACTCATGAGACCAGGTGCTTTCACAAGTTGATATTCCTGCCTTTGGGCGCTAGATGGCAATGTCTCCCATCTGCTGTTTGCTCCATAGAGAACAGGATGCTGGATAAGATGGGCCATTGGCCTGATGTAGCAAGCTATTCTTATGTTCTTAACCTGAATTTGCTGGTGTGTGGTTGAATCCTACCCCAAAATAACGACCTGACATCTAAGGAACAGTCAAATATCTGTTCAGTCCCTTCCTCCCCACCCCACCGCACTCCCCAAATCATGAACATCAAAAGAGGCTTTTTCAAACCCTTTCCTTATTAAGCTCCTCCAGGCACTCCTGTTTGTCTGTGTTTTGCTTTATGCATGACACTGAACAGCTGAAGTGAAAAAGGGGAAACTCAAGATACATCCAGCATCCCCAGCCACTCTGGGCGGCTTCCAACAAAATATTAAAATACAGTAGTCTGTCAAACATTAAAAGCTTCTCTAAACACTAGGGATGAAGGGTGGGGAATGGCTTCGGTTTGCACTTACAGGTGAAGCTTCCGATTCACACTGTCTGAAAGAGTACGAGAACTGAAACATAGCCACCCAATTTGCACTTTTCCAAATTTTGCAATGTAGCTGTTCTGCCAAATACAAAATCCCATATACTGTAAAGTGTGCAATAAATGTATACGTTGGTGATAAAAAATGGGGGGAAATGCATTATAGTAAGGGAAATTGTATGCAAAGATGTGTATATTAGGCAGACTTCTGTATTAGGAAAAATGAACATGATACAAACTATACAGGGGAACTGAAACGCATAAAATTCCAGTCGTATCTAAAGCCAAAGTTGTAAATTCACCTTTTTTCAGGTGATTGTTCCTAGGAAGTGTATATATTTATGCACATCAGGCATGCTAAAATTTGTATGTTAACAGTTTTCAGTACCTTCTTTTTTATTCAAAGTAAAGCTAAGGGGAATCTCACTCTGCTGGTGCAATTATTTAGTTGAACACAGCCCCATATAACAGAAATATATGCTATTAAGTGGTCATGTTTTAAATATCTACTCATGTTCAGAAAAAGAAATCCAGTTTGAAATTGTTGAAATACAATGTTCAAATTATATTTCCTGTGGGAATATTTCATTTTGAACTCTTTCAAACGCTTAGTTTTACAGCATGGTAAAGCTAATGTGGCATACTTTTGAAGTTTAATTTTCTATATGCTAGTCAAATAAACATGGTAAATCAGAAGTTCATTGATTTAGGGCAGTGGGAACTGTTTCAGATTGATCAACATCACTGGATATGGAATTGCTGCCTGTGCATTGATCAAAGAAGTATATAGTAGTGAGATGTAGTGGGGGGGGGACCCACCTTTTACTTGCCGCATTGTCCTCTCTTCTTGTTTAATCAAAGCCCTCCCTCCCTGTTTTGCAGCTCTCTAAAGGATTCAGGAGATGCCTGGCGCGAAGCATATCTGTATGGATAAGAAGCAGCAGAGACTTGAGAAGGAGGACCATGAAGATGCATCACAGACTAGAGGGCAGCTAATGTGCTATGAAGAATTTGGGGTCTGGTGGGTGAGCTAGACAAACGTTAAATAATTATTTTTGGCATGGGGTTGGGGGACTCCTGAAACTTTCCTACATCTATGCACAGTTGGGGTTTTTTGTGTGTGTGCACATGTTGTTCTGGTTGCACTGTGGCTTTTCGGGTGACAGGGTCATGGAAAGGGAAGGTCTGTGCTTCATGTAGAAGTACATCTTGCTTTTGGTTGCATGTATGAGTTCGAAACCTGACTGTCGTCTTCCGTATGGTTGGTGAGGGATGCTTTCAGAAGAGGTGTGTTTAAAGCAAAAAGGCAGAGCTGCAGTGGGGAACTACAATGCAGGTGTAATATTACTTGTGAAAGCCACATGTTAGGGCTTATCTACACTTACTTTTCCTCTGGTCTTTCCATGCACAGTCCACACTTTAAAGCTCTGTGTTCGAATGCCCTTTCCCTTTGGAGCTTTCCCCACAAAAACCTGCTCTTTAAAGCGTAGTCGGAGCAAATGCAATCCGTTGGAAATCTGAATTACTGTTTGTGCTGACTGAGTGTTAAAGAATGGATTTTCAAGGAAAACTCTGGGGCAAAAAAAGAAAACAGACATGTTCAGACATGGAGCTTTAACAAGTGTGCACCTCTGCCTGGAAAGAGCAGGGCAAGAGATAAGTGTGGATAAGACCTTAGTTGAAGGTAACTTTAAATCTTAGCTTCAGTTGCAAGCTCAGGGATGCAATTTCATGTTTGCATAGAGGTAAGGGACCAGATAACATAATTGAGTTTAAAGCTGAGTGTGTTCATGTTCCTGTTTCAAAATGTGTTGTATTAAGAGCCGTTGGTTGCAGATAGTTTTCTTCAAAGCCTCATAATAACCAGAGAAAGAGGTGCTCCTGGAGGATAATCACATGTGATCTGAACTCTCCTCATGTACCCCTCCTCCCAAACAGCACCTGTTGTGCAAGATGACCTTTCCATGCTGAGGTTAGGAAACGTTTTCTCAGCAACTTGTATTCATCTATCTAATGTTATCACTGCCCCAACATCTTCCCAAAGGAAGATGCCTTCGCATGGTGGCAGACCAAAGAAGTGCCTCTTCCCCTCCACTATGCGCTTCAAAGAACGCTTGAGCGTGCGCCTCCAAACCAATGCCTGATCACATGACTAGCGCTCCTCTTTTGAAGGAGAGGAATTGTGTGGTTGCAATCTCAATGTAATCCGGTATTGGCATGAATGCCTCTGGTCATAGTTCTTTGAAACCACACTCTCTTACTCCATTACTACACAAAGGCCGCTGCCACTGGGAATGTGTTACCTGGGGCAATGCCTCTTGCCTGGTGATTATCTGGCAGTGTGATTGAAAGTATTAATTAGTTCAGTATTTGTTGTCTTGACCTACAATTGGAAGCATCGACCTTCTGTTGGTCCTTTAGCACAGCCCTCTTAGGATGTACACCACTTCATGTGTACATATTTGTATTTATTTGTATCTTTTAATATATTTCATAAATTTATTTGGGTCAATACGTGTGGCTGTCTTTTTTCTCCCTGTTCTTCTCATTGGTTCAAATAGACAAGAAGAGCTGACTCGAAACACATTGTATGTGGATTTGTGCATTTCTCCATGGCTGCATCAGGGACGCGGGTGGCGCTGTGGGTAAAAGACTCAGCGCCTAGGGCTTGCCAATTGAAAGGTCGGCGGTTCGAATCCCCGCGGCGGGGTGCGCTCCCGTCACTCGGTCCCAGCGCCTGCCAACCTAGCAGTTCGAAAGCACCCCCAGGTGCAAGTAGATAAATAGGGACCACTTACTGGCGGGAAGGTAAACGGCGTTCCGTGTGCTGCGCTGGCTCGCCAGATGCAGCTTGTCACGCTGGCCACGTGACCCGGAAGTGTCTTCGGACAGCGCTGGCCCCCGGCCTATAGAGTGAGATGGGCGCACAACCCTAGAGTCTGTCAAGACTGGCCCGTACGGGCAGGGGTACCTTTACCTTTTACCCATGGCTGCATCAGGTTAAATTCGCATGTGGTCTGAATTAACCTCTATCATAGTGATGGGGAACCAGTCAGTGAAAATGAAGGGTAGGAAATCTGCCACTCTCCAGATGTTGCTGGACTACAACTCCCATCGTCCCTGACCATTGGCTATGCTGGCAGGGGTTAATGGGAGCTGGAGTCCAACAATATCTGGAGAGTACACAGTTCCCATCTCTGCTCCAGCAGGTGGCATTGCGAGCCTCTATCAGTCCAGCATATGTAAGCTTCCACATACTATAACTGGAGATGCCAGGAACTGAATCATAGATAACAGGGATAGAAATGTAGATTTGGTTATTTGGGGAATGAGCAGGCCCATCAGATTGCAGTTTATTTTGGGGTGTTTTTTTTATAAAAGGAGCAGTTCATGTCTTTAGAGTAAAGGTAGTTCTTTTAGTTATGGATGCTGCCCGGCTGTTTACCATTACCTTATGGAATCGTACAGCACCATGTGAGTCATTAGTCAAATGCATCTGTCTAAACATTCCACCAGAGGGAGTTCTTTCCCTTGCATTCCAGTATACACACACCCACACACCCACACCCTCGAAAGGTTGTATCCACCTTCCTTGCTCAGTGACTCAAATAAGTATGGGAAGTACATCCTTGACCACACTTTTTTGTGCCAGGCCTGAGCTTGGTGCCCCTTCAGAATTTTCAGACTGCAGTGCTCTGTGGGTAAAACCACACAAAGCAGAATTCCCCCATTTATATAGTTCTTAAAGAGAGAGGGGATGGACAGGACTGTCTTGCTTTTGGTCCTTCGACCTGTGTAACTACCCAGCCAAACTGACAAACTCACACTTAGAATCAAAGAGTCATAGAACTGTAGAGTTGGAAAGGACCCTGAGGGTCATATATTCCAGCTCCCTGCAATGCAGGAATCCCAACTAAAGCATCCACGACAGATGGCCATCCAACCTCTGCCTAAAAATCTCCAGAGAAGGAGAGTCCACCACCTTCCAACTCCAGCTTCCCTCAGCCAGCACAGCCAGCGGAGAAGGATGGTGGGAGCTGGAGTCCAACTTCATCTGAAGGGGCACAGAGATGCTACAAGTTATATTTTTGGCATTTCTCACACCTCTCTTTAAATTCTTCATTGATGGTTTCACCATTTCTTTTTCCTAAAACGCAACACACACCCTGCACCAAATCCCCTTCTTCCAGCCATTTTGGAGACCAACATAGTATGTTCCAGAGGAGGCATATGGTTGGCTGGAGTCCCTAAGTTAGTGGAACTCAAGTCCCATCGATTACAATGGGAACCATGCCATTACTGATCTGTCTCCTTCAATTCAACAAGAAACAAGTTAGCCTGCATCCAACCCATTATCTGAAACATACTATACACTGTGGAACATCAGTCTGCAACTCACTTACCCATATTCCCCTTAAACCAAAACTCAGAAAAATGAAGGGGGGGGAAGCAGAAGGAAGCAGGGAATGAAAAGGAGAAAACACATTGCAAGGGACTAACACTGCTTATACACCATACATTTAAAGCATACATACTCAACTTTTCTCATACCAGCTGGTTGTTTTATAATTTATTTTATCTTTATTTTCAACATTTTTATACTGCCTGTTGACCATAAGTGCTCTGGATGGTGTACACTTGATTTTTAAAACAACAATAACACAGACATAAAATATAAAAGTATGGCATGAACATAAAATCAAGCACCAATTAAAACGTCAGAATAAAACCTGTAGTGTCCAAGGTCTAAACACAAACTTATTTTCTAACTGAAAAGCATGTTAATCCACAGCCTATTTGCTAAGGGGAAGATCAATAACCCCATAGCACCACCTTCTGCAATCGACCATCAGAGTCGGAGGGGAACCACTCCAACATGGTACTTCCCAGTTTCCAACCAGGCAGCCTACCCTGAAGGATGCCGTCATCTGTGATATTGAGAGCTTCAAGTGAATCAACAGGGCTGCACTTTCCTCTCCCTCGCTTGGCGGAGGTCATCTCACAGACTGGCCAAGGCAGCTTCCACTCCGAAACCAGGGCTGAATTAGAAAAGCAGCGGGGAAACCATAGCCCACAGGCCTCATTAGGCCCACCTCGCCTCCCCATTTGGCCTGCAAGTCATGTCCATCTGCCCTGCACGTGACCATCACCCATAGCCTCAGGTGTGGGGCAGGTGATGGTGCAGCTGGGCCAAAGCGGGATTTGCAGGCAATGCCACCTGGATCCAGTTGCTCACCGTGCTCTAGAAAATCATTTCGTTCAAGAGTGTATAGAGTTTACTGGCAATCATTTCCTCAGGCACATTTCTCAGGAGCTGGGTGTTGGCCAACTAGCTTTGAGTCACCTGCATCTTCTGAGCTCATTTCTACAGAAACTGTCTTGATTACAACCACCTTGAAGGAGGCTGGCACCATTTCTTTCCTCGACAGTTTGTGAATAATTTGATCTGAAGAGATTTATTGCTGCAGTAGCTGGAATTTTTGTGATATCACAGCTTCTGTCAATGCAGAGGCATCGCTGTCAATGCTTTTAAACATGTTTCAGCACGTTGCAATAAAGAGAATAGACACCAGTGTAATTCTGCAGCAAAGTTAGCCATCAGCATGTATGGTTTCGTTAAATTACAATTCTCGGTAGTTGAAGAATATGCATGATGCCACTTTCTCACTTGTGGCACATAGATGTGATGACAACATCAAAAAAAGACAGATCTAATTATCTCAGTATCTATCTATTTTAATTTCACAAGTTCTTCCTGGAAAGCAATTTACATGAATTATAAAGCATGACGTGTGAATTACAATTACATTTGTGTCTCCAGGAAAAAACTGATTTTTTCCCCACCACAGCTACCATTTTGGGAGGTACTGCAAATAGGAGTGTGTAAGAATTATTTTCGCTTATTTAAAAAGTTTGTTTACTCATATGTTGTAAATTTGGACCTATTTGCTTAGTTGCTAATGTGGATCTTGTTCATTTCTGTAACTACCGTTCATTTTCATTTCCCACTGGCTTTGCTGGGAAACCCAGAGAGTCTTCTGCTGACTACAACTGCTGTTTTTCCATCCAGCCACCAAATTTTCGGGCATTCCATCCTTCAAGTTATTAGGCCTGCCAAATTTCAGACAGGGGAGAGAACCTCCAATTCTGAGGCAATTAAAAAAGAGGTACACTTCCTGTGGTCTTTCCGCTCATTTCAGTGGGAGATCCAGCTGCTCCTCTCCAGCTCATAGCTTCTGTGTTTCTCCAATGAATCAGTATCAAATTTTAGATAGATGGGATAAAGAGGGCATGTGTGCCTCTCAATGCAAAGTAGGCTGTAGGTCAGCACTGGCCTACATTTTCAGACTGGGAATCGTTTGCACATGAAGCAAAAGGAAAGTCTGCTCGATCAATGGTCCAGGTAGTTCAGCATCCTGTTCTTATTGTGGCCAAACAGATGCCTCTGCAACAGCACTCTGCTCACCTGTGATTCCAGCAACTCGTATTATGAAGCATACTGCTTCTTTTTGCTTGCTTGCTTGCTTGCTTGATTTTTAATAACATTTATTTATTTATTTAGTTAGTTAGTTAGTTAGTTAGTTAGTTAGTTAGTTATCATAGGAATTATAAATGATATAGATAAATAGACCAAGTCGTCTCCTGCCATTTGTGTATCACAAAAATAGCATCCTAAATTTGCAGTAATATCTACAACATATGGTTCATTATTTGTGGTCAGTGTTTTAAGTTCTTGGTTCATGAATTGGCTTTAAC